TTATGTTTTGAGTTCTTAAATAAAGCCACAGGTTAGTAGATATTTCCTGAAGTTTGCTTCTGAGACATCTTCCCTCACAGCTTTATCTCTGGATATCTCAACTACTCTTAGGCCATCAGTATTATCTTTCATCCAATGACTGAAAATCAGCATCACCATCCTGAATCTCTGTCCTCATCTCCTAAAAAATGTTTAGTTCCCAATCTGAACATCCTCCACTGAAAATCATCAGCTGGCACATACTTTCCAATCGTCTTCTCAGTGAACAGCAATTAAATATGAATGAACAACAATAGATCACATACCATTTGAAGAAAATTTCCAGTGGAAAAAAATAAAGAACAATGCAGGGAGGAGGAAGGAAAAAGGAAATAAAGGCAGAGAAGCACCACAGAAATATTTACTTAAAAAAACACAGTGTTTAAAAAACTCTGTGATACAAGAGAATTTATAATAACATCTATGAAAAAAGAACAGGACACTATAAGTAAAAATTAGAGACAAAAAAACACCTAGAAGTTTTAACATCTAATTAAGAAAAACATCTTCGACAGAAATGGAATAGAGAAAATAGAAAATTTCATTAAATTGTTCGGTCAAGAGTTTCCATATTAAGATTGCTCAGCAAGAGTATGCCAGGAAAAGAAAAATGTGCCAAACCAAGACATGGTATTGAAACATTTCAGAACACTTGGGATAAAGAGATAATACCGAAACTTTGGAAAGAGAAAAAAACAAAACAAAACAAAAACTCACATAGAAAGATACAGGAATCAGACTCACACTAGACTTCTTAAGAGCAACACAGGAAGTTAAATGATATTGCAGTGACAACTTCAATATTCTGAGCAAAAATATTTTTAAAATTAGAATTCTATAACTAAAATAGAATTGTAAACTAGAATTCTAAGTACACTTTGAATAGAATGAAGGCACTATGGTTTGGGATGTACTCTAGGCTCTAAACAGAAGGCAGAAGAGAAACACTTCTGAATAGTGGGGTTAACTAAGAAAGAAACAAATACCAGATGCAGGAAAGAGGGGATCCAGCATGGGAGAAAAGGAAAACAAAATCAGGATGAAGTTTCTGGAGCAGACCTAAACAACATCTAGCTCAGTCAGATTGGGCAGGAGGTCTGAGGCCTCCAGAAAGCTGTGTAGTGAGCAGGTGACTTAACTGCTAAATTGTGAAAAATAGAATTTAGAAGATTAAAAAAATTATGTTAGAGATTTCAAGAATTCATGCCAGGTGTAGACAAACATAAGTAAATGGTATAGTGTCAGAAAAGAAATGCAATCATAGTAGTATAACACTTAGCTTGCAGTCGATAATATTCAGTTACAATAACTCAATTCTGAAAATTAATATAAACAATGTTTCTGAAGTTAGTACATCAGAAGGAGAAAAAGAAGAGAAAGGGAAGGTGAGAAAGTGGGAAGGGGATATAAGTGGACCAAATCATTGTCTTCTAAATTAGTAAGTAAAATAAGGTATAAAATTGATACATTTAAAGTAGCAGAAGAAGCACTTATTCAAAAATATGGAAATAAATCCCACAAGACAAAGATAAAACAGACTTGCAGGGCAGGAATATTCAAAGACGAGAAATATGTGTGTGTGTGTTGGAGGAGGTGTGGGGCAAAATATTTATGCATGTCATTGTAAGTTTTGTAATACTTATGTATTAGAAATGTTACACATAAAATATGTTTTCATGTGTCACTTTGACAAAAAAAGTATCCTTTTTAAAAATCATTTGAAAAAATACATTATTTTTGGTTATTTTTTAAAAAATAGTTCAATTTTGGATGGCAGATATTCAAAATCTACCCATAATTAGAAATTTAATTATGTACTTCAACTCTAGTTTCTCTGCCTTTAGGATCTTTCGAACTTAACATATGTAAACTACTAGGGGGTGTTCTTTATGAAAGTACCTACACTGTGCCATGGATTTAAGTGTCATTTTAGACTATGATACCTACTTCCAATTTTTAGATTTGATACTTCCCATTTAACTAGGATGTTATTTCATAGCCAGATATTTCCAAAGGATGAACATAAGAAATAATTCATAGAGAATGGTAAAGTAACTTTTTGAAAATTACATAACAGGATTGGCCAGTTTGCTCAGTTGGTTAGAGCACAGCTGGAACTGGCCAGCCACCAAAAAAAAAAAAAAAAAAAAAAAATTAGGTTACATTGATCATGTTTTTGTCAAAAGGGAACACTTGAAAATAACAGGATTGGCCAGTTTGCTCAGTTGGTTAGAGCACAGCTGGAACTGGCCAGCCACCAAAAAAAAAAAAAAAAGAAAGAAAATTAGGTTACATTGATCATGTCTTTGTCAAAAGGGTACACTTGAAAATATAAGTTGAATTTTCAAACTTCAAAACTTCAAATCCCAATCTCACTTACTAATGAATCAAAAACTTGAAAAATGAAGAAAATTCTTTTTTTCCAGCAATATGTCTCAGAAAATAGATAGCTACTATGTTGAAAAAGAATCTTTATTTCTTTTATTTTTTTTTCTTGACATATATAAGTGAATTATATATCTTATACAACTAAATATCATCAACTGCATTTTCTGTATAACATATCTTAAAAGATTGAGTTGCAAAGAACATTCAAAAACCTTCTATAGCTACAGAGTGGTTCTAAGTAACCAGATTTTTTAAAGGGGAATTGTTGCTATATGAAAATAAAATTGATGGGGGTGGAGTTTAAAATGTAACCAATTTTACTTTTATAAACATTAGGTCAGAAATGATAATATCTAGCAATGATGAAATATAAAGAGGTTTATTAGACAACATGTACTGGATGTAACAGCACCAAAATAAAATAAAGGCCTCACCACAAATAGCATACTGTTTATTTTATTTTCTCTAAGAGTAGGGAGAGGATCAAGTTTCAAAAAGGGTCTCTCATGCTATGCTTGTCACATCCTTGATTTGGACAATCACTTCTGTTTTACTGTTTTTCTACTGGGTTTGGATGTTGCTTTCTTATCAATAATGGAATTTTAGTTTTTCCCTCAACATAAGATTGTACATATAATCCCGCAGGTCACTTCTGACTAGTTTACACCATCAGATAAATATTTCTCAGCTCCTTAAATCAATTCTTCCAGGGGAAGTGCTTCTAGACAAATTCAATCTCTTTGGTTGATATTTTTGAAATAATTTCAAACTTTCTACATAACTCTTGACACGCTTAGGGATCTCCTGTAGTTATTCTAATGTCTTTAGGAAAAGGAGGGTAAATATTTAATTACAAGGTCACATCACTGGTAAGTCTAATTGACATTTAAACCTTTTCAATTTCCTTCTGAAGGCAGCCTATACTGCTGTAATGCCACATTTTCTATTCCAAAGCTGTGGTAGTTACAGAGAAATAGCAATGAGTGTTTCTTTAAATAGAAGAGCTGTACTTGTGGGCTTTCAATGCTAATGTTCAGTGACCACTAATTTCGTATCCTACTAGGCAAAACTGTATTTTATTCATTACAGAGTGGAGCACATTTTGAGACTCTTAAAGATGACTGCATGAAATTTAGGGGCAAACTGATACTTGTCTGAGCTCTGCAGGATAAAAATTTACATGCACACTTTGAGCAATTTTATTTTTGCTATTCAATTCCTTTAACGAATGATGGGATTTCTCCTGGCTTTGTCATTTGGGACTTCAAGCTGCTTAGTATCCACAGGGAGTATTACCAGAGATTACTCGGTACTCAGAGTGATTGAAAAGAGAGGCCTGCACTCTGGTACATATTCATAAAGCACAACCCTTACTCTTGAAATGTAATGGAAATCATAAGACAGCTCTTTCCATCGTGGTGCTCTTATTACACTATGGATGGCAGCTCCCAAACTGCAAAAGAGGCTTCTTTAGAAACCTAGGCAGGACTTTGGTGCTACCCTTGGGCATGTCCTGGGGTAATGACCAAAAATAGGGATCTTATCATAGCATGCATAGAAACACAAGATTATTTTACTGGCACAGAGAAGTAATTTAAAAATCACAGTGATCTCTTGTACCTTAAAAAAATAAAATAGTATCTGCAATAGTGAAATATATTATTAAGATTCACACAAACACACATGCATATATATACACACATGCATATATATGTAGGTGTGTGTATCTATATATATATGAATCTATATTTACATACAGATACTTGAATAGGACTTCAATGTATTCTAAACAAATGTTTCATTTTCCAGTATTTGTAAGATCTTTCTTTTTCCCAATTTTCTGTCACGTTATTTCTCTCTCAATTTGCTACAGTTGTCCCATAGTATTTTACTAATTTTGTTTACTTGGCCATCTTCATTGTCCTCAATTTTTTCCTTCCTAATGCTTTTGCCACCATTTCTGAGGTACAAATCTAATCAGTTTTTATCCTATTAATTAAATTTCTCCTGCTAAAGAGTTCCTTGTTTTTTAAAGTTAAAGGAGCATGAATATCATAACACCATAGTTTATTTATGAGTCTTTTTTTTCTAATTTTGATTTTATATGTGTGTGTGAATAGATAGTATTTTTGTCATGAGCTAAAACTATAAATACCTCAATTAAAAATTTTTTAAAGTAGAGATCAAGCATTTTTGTGCTGCCCTCTCTTTTAAAATCCTTACCTTGTGCTGACATATAATAGATACCTGATAAATGCATCATAGTGGAATGAGTGATAAACTTTAGACAGATGTAATACCTCAAACAGACTTTGAGAAAGAGCATTTTTTTTTTACATTTCGATGGAAGGCAAAATATGAATAAAGTAGGTGAATTAATATTTGAATTTTATTTTCACATCAAAGATTTCAACCATAAGACAAAAAATAAGACAATTCTAAGCTGTCACTACTTATCAGAATTCATGAGTAACCATCCATATATGGCCTGGCTTTTAGTATTAATAAGAATATTAAAAAGCAAAAGAAAAGTAGATATGAAAAGCAATTTATAATTTAAAAGAGGGTTTTACCGAAGACAGTCAGCTCTGCTGGATCACTGTCCCTTTCTCCCACCATATTGGTGCCAACACAGGTGTACATCCCTGCATCGCTTTTCCTGGTATTGGAGATCATCAGTTTTCCACCACGGATCTGTTCAAGTTGAGAGAGAGAGAGAAAGAGAGAGAGAGAGATAGGAAGGAGGGAAGGAAAAGGAGGTATGGAAGGAAGGAAGGAAGGAAGGAAGGAAGGAAGGAAGGAAGGAAGGAAGGAAGGAAGGGAGGGAGGGAGGGAGGGAGGGAAATGTTATTAATAAATAATTTAGAATATTTAAGTGTATTTTCTTTCCAAAAGAAAATAGCTAAGTATCTAAGACAAAACTCCCATTATTTTGGCATCTGCATGTGTGCTTTCTTTTCTTAAATTCACCCTCACAATTAGTTTCCATATTCCTTTCCTAGGCATACCTCTTTAGGGCAGCCTTCTTCTCTCTTGCCTGGTCCTATTACAAGTTCTGTGACTATCCCCACTACATGTATCCCAGTGGTTTGTCCTCACATTGAGATTCTGTTGAATGAATTGCTATCGCCATTTGTCATCAGAAAGGAAGACAAGATATCTGCTTTGGATAATATAATGAAATCCGGCTGATTCAGAGGTATTTATTGAGTACCTGTGTGAGGTGGGCAGTGTTCTGGGCACTTGGGTTACAGCAGAAACTCAAATAGTGAAAATCTTTGCTTTCCTAGAGCTTACATTTCAATTGTTAGTATTAAACATCTTTTTCGCATCTTAATAGCATTTAAAAGATCATTTTTGTTGAGAAGAGCAGATTGGATAAAAACAAGTAAAATTTATAAAATGATGAGTATTAGTTGGTACAAATCATTGCCATCTATTAGATGTTCCCTAAATATATTTTAAATGAGAAGTACTTGTTGACTGAATAAACAAATGCAATATTAAAATGTCTATTTTCTAAAAGAGAACATTAAAGCAGAGGTTAGCTTTCAATAAGTGTATTATCTCTCATAGCTTCTTTTCCAGTTTATTTTTTTGTTTTTATTTTTGTTTTTGTATTGATCTAATTCAAGAATTTTAACTTTACAATGATTGACTGTTCTTAAAGAGATATGAGATAAGAGCATGCTGGTTTTCTCCATGATTTTTTTAATTTTATAGGTAAACAAAACTTACGTAGGTTTGTTTTCAACAGAGATGTTTCAAGTTCTAAAACATGTCATGTCATAGTCAGAGATTTTCACCTTTTTTTATGGGGGAGAAAAAGACCATCAATCTTTTCTTAATTATATCCCAGTAGAGCATGACGGTAGATTATAAAAATGGCCACGGAGGCTATTTTCTCCCCTTGAAATTGAGCTTTGCAGTATGGCCAGTGGAACTGCAGCAAACGTTTCAGCAGAAGTAAGGTGCTTGCACATTGGGACTTGGCTTCTCTTGGTGCAGTTGGAACCCTGAGACAAAATGGGAGCCAGCCCAAGCTAGCCTGATGGAAAATTAGAGGTCATGAGGAGGAGAATGAAGTTGCCTAGCTGAGAATCAGACATTTGCCAGACATGTGAGTAAGGTCATCCTAGATCATCCAACTGCCAGCACACCTCTGAACAGGCCACAGAAGGATGAAAAAATCTAGCAGAAATCAGCCAAACTGGCTGAGAGCAGAAGTATCAACTTATCCACAGAATCAGGGACTAAATAAAATGGTTATTATGAGCCGCTGTAATCTGGGGTGATTCGTCACAAAGCAAAAGCTAAATTCTACAAACATGAACTAGAATCCTTTGAATATTGATTTAACTCCATCACTAGGAGCACATTTTCACAAGTTTTGTACCCAAGCACGTACCACTGAGGACCAAATTCTCTTTGGTTCTCACAAGGTCCTCACACAGTTAACAGTCAAGCCAGAAACATGAATATATGTTCTGATCTCTTACATGGCCTATTCGGTTCCGTGTTATACTGTACTCACAATGTGCACATAAGAAAAATCCTCTTTTATAATAAATATATTTTTAAAGATAATAGACTCCCAGATTATACACACTTTTGATTAAAATGGCATATTTGTTCAGTGAAATGAGACATTAGCTTAAATAAAACATATTCATTATTAGTTATTGTACCGAATATTAAAATTATACTACTAAATATATATTATATACCTTTATATATAATATAATATAATAGGCATTATATTCTATCATAAATAGGCATTACGTACTATTTCAGTGAATTAGTTCTCACTTACAAACTTCACATACAAATATTGAGTGGATCCTCTGAAAAAATAAAATGAGTGCATGCCATCATCCTTTCTACTTCTTTACCAGTTTCTGGGTGCTTCATTCTGAATCTTAATCAACTGATGAAATGGGTCGTCAATTTCCTTTGAAAATAAAGTATTTTTCTACATGATCTAACCTGCAGAATCAGTCAGTCATTTTTGTTTTGATTTTACTTCGTATCAGTTAAATTTGCTTCACCATCTTAAATTATTTCCTCTTAAAACTTTGGAAATAGTGTAAAATGAGACTTTTGTAGTTAATATGGTTTATGGCTATCACTTCACACTTTAACATGCACGTGCTACATGTGTTCAGAGATCTGAAAAAGAGCTATGACATCAATATCCTATTGCAAAGATACATTTACCTATTCAGATTTGTAAAATTATTAATATATCATATATACTTGAGATCTATATAATTTTTGTCTCTTTGAAGGCTCATCCCAAAGTTTATTACATGATAAATGACAATTGGCATTCACATATAGTTTTATTAACAACAAATTAAGAATAAAATATATCCATTTTAAGATTTGGAATGTAATCTCTTTAGGTCAGGATTTTAATTTAACTCACACTTATTCTTTCTTCCTTGTCATCGATTCGAACTTTGTCTTTTTTCCAGTAGATGGTGGGTTCTGGGTGTCCCCGGGGAGGTTGGCACTCCAGGATTGCAGGCTCTCCAGCTGCCACTACAACATCTGTGGGGTTTTGCCGGAAGTCATCTCGTAACACTGAAGAAAAATAATTATAGTAAAAGAAAACTCAATCACAATAACTTCAGCTTTCTGTTGCAAAAGGTAATTTCAAGTCTTGCTGACTTCATTCTACTAGAAACTGTGTGGAAATTTACTGAGAACACAGCCATGCCCATCTTAACATATTCTAGTGCCAACCTAAAGGCTCACCATAGGGGAACAGCTAACTCATATGATCATGCACTTTTGCTCAAAAATTTGATTTAAAAAATGAGATAAGTCTAAGGAAAATAAGATGAAAAATATCCATAACATAGTTTTGAGATATATTAAAAATAACTGTATTTTGTGTAGAGCTCTTTGTGTAATATGATTGTACTTTCTATAAAGAAAAAGCACATCTCTATATATACATAAATATGTTAAAATAAATGTTAAAGTTATACTAAAACTTGAAACAAGTTACATGCAGGTAATTGTGAGCATGTATGCATGGCAGTCTATGGGGGGATATGGGGTGAGAATTCTTTGAGAAAGTCCTTTTTCATGACATGAATATGGCCAAGATCCACACTGTTTTCATCACACTGCAGAAGACAGACTGATTGTTCACCCTTGCAATGCACTAGCACCCACATACACAGGGCTACATTTTCATTCTCTCTGCATCTCCACCTGCCGAGCGACATCTGGGCGGCGTGACATTCGGAGCAGAGATATCCCTTATAGCAGTTTTGCTAGTCTGAGTTTCCCCTCCTTTCATTAAGGAGAACAGCAGGTTGGACCTCTGTTGTAACCACCCAAAATCTGGCATGCCTGGCTCTCCAAATGTCACCTGTCTATCTGCATGTGCTTTTCTGCTGCTGGCAAGATGAAAATCCTGGAAAAGTGACTTGGCCCTATCAGACTGCAGGATGCTGGACTTATTTGATAAATAAAGGTTATGTCTATTTCAGGTTAAATATTCAAAAAGTAGTGAGACCAACTAATATATCGTATACCTCAACTGCCTCTGCTTTTTCTAACGGCCTTTGTTT